TTTGAAATCAAGGAACAGAAGGACATACCTGAACAGAAACCTAAGCAACCTACGTGCACACAGGGTGAAGCGTCGGACAAACACCTCTCCTACAGCTCTCCGCCTCCAAAAGGCCAACGAGACTGCACCCTACCGGACTGGCTGGCCAACTCTGATTCGGAAGAGAATTTCAAGAATCTTTTAGCCTCTGATATATAATCCCTTTTATTTACCTACATTTAATTGAAGACATCTGTAGGTGGTGCCACACAAAACGTAATTCAGACTCAGAAATGTCAATAAAAATGTCTGTGAGGGAGAGGTCCGATGTAAACCTAGCAGGGGAGCGCACATCAGCAGCCACAGAGCCACATGAAATTAGAAATATAATGGAAATATGTTGCCTGACTTGACGAGGTGATAAAAGCTCTTTTCCCATAAAGCTTAATGAGCTCTATTAGTTTTCAGCTTACAGGAATGTAAAAGGGTCAGCCCCACAGAGGGAAGTAACTGACTCCCCACACATGGCTCCATTCAAATGACAGCAGATCAAATTACTGATGTAATTACTATAACCTGACAATTTCGTTAGATTCATGTGGCAGTTAACTGTTTAGGACTTACAACAAAGGGACATGGTTCATTCACAGTTCGGTGGACAAAGTGAAGTTTAAAGTCTCCTTCGTTTTCAACTGCAAGTCTCATGTATTTTACAATCTCCACCAGAATTATTTTTCTTTTGATCAAATTTACGGAAGGTGTTTGGGTATTTACCGCATGTGTAATTTTCCTTCTTCAGCTAAAACATAAGCCCAATGGCAAAATTAAACATTTAGGACTCCTAACACTCTCCAACTTTGGCTTGCTTTGGCTCTCAGGCTCTGTGTAGTGGCAAAGGGAACAGAATCCTGAGCTCAGTGCTGTTGGAAATTTGGGGGTAGCAGCCACTAACTCTGCCTACAGGCAGCCGCCCCGTGAAACTCCAGGCTAGCAAAATTTCAACAGAACGCTCTCCAAGTATTTCCCAAATACTTCAAGAAAAGTAAAGCACATTGGTCATCTCTAATTTTGATTTTTTTTCCCCTTTCCCATGTCCATAAGTTCAGTACAAAAACAGATATTTAACCAAGTAAAACACAACTGTAGATTAAGCGGAAAAAGCAGATCAGTCAGAAAATGACAAAAACCATCACTAAAATTTCATCGTATCTTCCCTTGTTTTTCACCAAAAATTAAAGTTTCCGTACATAGGGATTCCCAATATTTAGCCAGATGTGATTTTAAAAAATATTTGTTCGGTGCAACTCTAGGTGTATGGTTGGAAAACTCTAAACCCTATCCCTAAGAGCATCCAAAGATGGAAAAGACAAAGATCCTGATCTTCAATGGCTACAATCTTGCCAGGAAGACCGTTTACCATATTGAAACACGAATATTAGGCCTTGTGTGTTTTTAGCTGACTCCTGCCAAGTTATGGATAAAAAGCCTGCTGCTTGCGGCCTCAGCCCCGCCTGGCTTATTCATTCATTCGTTCATCCATCCATTCAACAAATATTTATCCACTGTCTCCGATGTACTACTTACTATACTAAAATTAGAAACACAAGGAAGCAAGAAAAACAGGGTCCTCTTTCATCGGGCTTGCATTTGAGAGAAGTCTGTAAGTGAAATCTATTCAGAAGTCTCTTTGCCACTGTTTACTGATATTGCCCCAACGCAGTGGACATCAAGCCCCAGCCTCCTTATTCACTCCGTGTCCGGATCAGTCAGACCATTCTTCCTGGTTACTCCTCAGAAGCTCTTGCTGAAATCAAGAGTCCAGCCTTAAACCTCATTGGCATTCTCCTCACCTGAGCTCCTGCAATTTCCTCACCTGCCTTCCCCCCCTCCCCCACCGCAAGACTAGACCCTGTTTGCACATCAATCAGAGAATTCCCTGATGTACTTCCCAAACGCTGGCTATAAGAGCCACCGCTAAAAACCTACCAAGGTATCTCTTCTCCCCACTGTGGCTTCTTCATGGAAAAGAAAAGGGTAAAACAATGTAACATGTTGTGTATCTCCTTCCTAACTAATTTCTGTATGCTTAAATTATTTTTCAATTGAGATCTGCGTTATAATTTTGCACCCTACCTCTATCTCAACATAGCAAAAGCATCTTACGTAGTTTTGTTCATCAATATGTACTCACCAACACGTATATGCAGGATGCCCATCTTAATGGCTGTAGAATGTTCTATCAATAATATGGCTGCCTGTACCATTATTTACTTGACCTTCTCCTAATGCTCCTCATTTACAAATTTATAAATTTTTCACCATAATGCTGTAATAAACATTTATGCCAGTTTTGTCCCCATCTTTATTTCTCTGGCAGTGATTCTTAGACAAGAATTATTCAAGCACACAACTGCAAGGTATGAATTTATAGGTCTTAACGTAGATGCCCAAACCCATTTCTGTAAATGGTAAGTTTAAAAACATCCCATCTCCCCAAGCATTCATTTAAAAAAAAAAAAAAAAAAAAGATATCTTGATAGGTAAAAAACCATTTATCACTATTGTTTTAAACTACATTTCTTTGATTACTTACAAGGTTAAACTTTTAAAACATTTATTACCATTTGTATTTCACATAAACTATCTCATCAAATCCAACCAAAAATTATGCAAAAAAATAGTACATTAAGTATAACCTTTTTATCACACTTTCCCCAAACTGCCTTTTAACTATACCTGTTTTCATGAAGAAAATTAAGGACTTTTAACAGAAGCAAATCTTATTTTTCTCCTTTGTGATACTTCTCATTCTGCTATGCTTTAAAAATGCCTCATCAACTAAAAAGATTATATAATTTATACCGTCGTCAAGTTTCTTACAGTTTGGCTTTTTAATTTTTGCACTAAATTTTACTTAAAATTCTATGTGACAGGCATTGTGCTCAGTGTTTCCCATACGCTATTTCATTTCATTTTAATAACCATGAAGTCTTACCATTTCCACTTTTAGATTAACCAAAAAATGCAATGACTTGCTCATGGGCCAACCATGCCTCCATTACTCCCAAGTAAGAGAAGGGAAAGGCAGAAACAGAGTCTTACTGTGTGGGCTGCAGTACAGCCCAAGAGGAAAATACAAAATATTACTAAGGTTTGAGTAGCACTTTCAAAACCGCTGCCATGTCCACGGCTTCACTGGTGAAGGAGGAATTATCATTTGCATTCAAAGATAAGGAAAGCCAGGCTCAGGGAAGTTGCGATTTGCCCAGTGTGGCTAGTGAGGGAAGGCAGGCTCTGAAATCAAGCTTTGGTTCTGAGTGCAAGCATCTCTCCACACTCTCCTCTGCCTTCTCTTTCCTCCTCCTTCCTCGAAGCCTCACCCAACTTCTACAAGTTATCCTACAAGTTATCTGGATAACCGGATATCCGGTTATCCGCATCAACTCACAGTACAGCTGCTGCCCTGAATACCTTTATCTCAAAATGTTACCACTGCAGTCTCCGCTCTACACTGCAGAACCTTGATGATGGCTGAATGTGAAAGTGGGTGAAGCAATGAGAGAGGGAGGGGAGGGGCATGAAGGGGAGGGAGGGGAGG